CCCCCCCCTCATACACACATAGTGTTCCTTCCACGTATCACGAATTTTGGTTAAACCATGATGGAATAGTGCTCCTGGCTGAGTCGCACTGTAATGGGGCCGCATTTCGTTTTTTGTACGGCACTTTGTTCTTCCTGGAGGTGATAGGTTGGCTTTTCGTTCCCTTGTTTTCCATACATCTGACACAATTCTCCAGACTCTGCAGCAGAAATGTGGAGCCCGCTCTGTAGGCTCTAGTACTCTGGGCATTCTTAGCGATATCTTCAGCCTGGACCTGTGTTGCTGGTTCCCTCGGAATTCTCGAGCTGGGGGGAAGATTTTTAGACCTTGCATACCTGAAAAGCCTTTATTCTGCCTTCAGCCTGACTTGTCATCTGGTGCACATAAAATCCAGGCAGGAAGGCTTCCCTCCCTCTGGCGTCGCCGTGTGGGTTCTCTTGCTTCAGCTTCGCGGCTGAGAAGCTGGGCGCCATGTTGGTGCTGCATTTGCACACCCTATGGGCTGGGCCCTACTTCTGGGGGATATTGTGGTGTCATCTCTTGGACAACCCCACCGGCCAGTCTCCTCTGTTCTGTCTGGAATTCGTGTCAGACTCGGCAGGGCCTCCTAGGTTGGCACTCTAATCTCGTTACTTTTTTAGCTTCCTATCTCTGACTAGTTGCAGTTTCTAGGAGACTTCTTCAACTTAACTTTCCAACCCTTCCCCTTCTAGTTTCTGCTCTCAGTTTTTAATGTCTGAGGACAACTTTCTTTCCCTGAATGTCTAATTTAAGCACCCTCTGTCGTTCACACCAACTTTATTTAAGATCCCTTCCTGCTGTTTGCTGGGGTTGGTCTCTGCCATGCCAGTTAGGGCTTTCCTCCAATGACCAGGGATCCTTGGCTTTCTGTTCTCACTTAAAAGGGACACACTAAAAGCCGATTGGACGTTCCCAGTGTAGATGGGTGGGTCCTCTCTCAGTGTGGGCTGGTGGGTTTGCTCTCAGTGTAGACAGGTAGGTTCATTCTCAGTGTAGTAAATGAGTCGGTCCACGCTCATTGTAGACGAGTGAGTCCTCTCTCAATGTAGACTGGTGGGTTCACTCTCAGTGTAGACAGGTAGGTTCACACTCAGTGTAGACAGATGGGGGGGGTCCACACTCAGTGTAGACTGGTGAGTCCTCATTGTTGAAGGTTGGACCCGGTCTCAGTGTAGACTGGTGAGTTCTCTCAGTGTAGACAAGTGGGTCCGTTCTCAGTGTAGATGGGTGAGTTTCAGTGTAGGGTGATGGAGAGACTGGGTCATTTCCTTGGGGTTAGTCAAATATTGGTGCTGTCAGCATTTGCAGAGAGGGATCTCAGAGTTGAGAGTGGAGTGGGGCTTGGTTTCCTTTAACCCTGAACACACCTCTACAAATCGCCCTTCTGTTAACACCTTCATCCCAGTGTGCTTCTGCTTCCTGCTGGGAGGGAGACTCAGGTTGCACAGGACGTTGGGAAGGAATCGAACTGCCACACAGATTCCCACCAGCCTAAATGCCCCCTGAGGCATGCATCAGCCCTGCCCTCAAGGGGGGGGGTGCCTTCCTGGCCCTTAGGGGTCAGTGCCTGTGGCAAATGCCCTGGGGTCATCTCTGTGCTCAGGAGGGTCTGGGGTCAGTGTCTTTGTACTCTGTGGTGTTGACAAGGTTACCTCAGTCTCTGTGGGCTTTTAATGTTTATTTTTGAAGATTTTGGTTACTGAATGTGTTAGTGGCTTGAAGTTTTACTGTGTGTGAAAATCTGTATGCAAGAAAGAAATTATGGAGTTATCTCTCATTTTATAAAAGATTTATCATAATCTCCCTTTAAATAGAGAACTTTCTCAGTGAATTTTAGAGTACCTGATTTGCATAAATCGCTTTAGGGAACATATGTACTGCCCACTGCCAGCATCTTGAGTGTGGTGTTTAAATCACACAACTCAAGTTTACCTCCTGTGAGAAGCGATTTCTGAATACTTCAGGTTGGTTTTCTACGTTTCTTTTTCACATGTCATATAATTTCCTCTTTAACCTTTGAATTTTTGTGTTCATAAAAATATCTTAATTGGTGTGATTCACCTAAAAAAATACATTTTAACTAGCATGTTAGTCTTCTATGCTGCATAACAGATTACCATGAATTTAATGCTTAAAACAGTACCCATTTATTATCTCATGGTTTCCATGGTTCAGAAGTCCAGGCACAGTGTGGCTGGAGCCTTTGCTCAGAATTTCAGAAGGCTCAAAGTGTCACATGGGCTGCAATCCTTTCTGAAGCTCAGGGCCTCCTCCAGGCTCACGTGGTTGTTGGCAGAATTCAGTTCTGTGGTAGGACTAAGGTCCTCAGCTGTGCACAGCCCCTGCCATGTGGTCCTCCCATAGTCACCTCACACCACAGAGCCCACGTAGTCCTCCCACAGAAATGTTACACCATGTGGTCCTCCCACAGACAGCTCACACCACAGCCCACGTAGTCCTGCTACAGACAGATCACACCATGTGGTCCTCCCACAGATAGCTCACACCACAGAACCCACATAGTCCTCCTACAGACAGATCACACTATGTGGTCCTCCCACAGACAGCTTACACCATGGAGCCATGTAGTCCTCCCACACACAGTTCATACCGTGGAGTCCTCCTCAGATAGCTCACACCACAGAGCCCACGTGATCTTCCCACAGACAGTTTACACCACACAGCTCACACCGCACAGCTCACACCACAGAGCCTACATGGTCCTCCCCACAGGCAGCCCACACCAGAGCCCACGTGCTCCTTCCCACAGACAGTTCACACCACATGATCCTCTCCACAGACAGTTCACACAACATGATCCTCCCCTCACAGCTCACACCACAGAGCCTACATGGCCCTCCCCACAGGCATCCCACACCAGAGCCCATGTGATCCTCTCTACAGACAGCTCACACCACAGAGCCCACATGGTCCTTCCCACAGACAGCCCATACTAGAGCCCACATGATCCTCCCCACAGACAGCTCACACCACAGATCCCATGTGATCCTCCCCACAGACAGCCCACACCACAGATCCCGGGTGGTTCTCCCCACAGACCTCCCACACCAGAGGCCATGATCCTCCCCATAGCTCACACCATGGAGCCCGTGGTCCTTCCACAGAAAGCTCACACACCTCGTCCTAAAATGAGAGGAGGAAGGAGAATCACCTGGCTCTCCCTGTCTTTAGTTTTTTGTAAGAGGGAGGTACCTCAGTATGTGTTGGATTGCAGCAAGTCCAGCCTTGCAGATAAGTTTGTGGGTGAAGCAGTAAAGAAGTGGGCATTATAGACGTACTAAGGGCGCACAGCCAGCCAGGCCCTGGATGTGGCTGCGATCTGGCCATGTCACGCAGTGACGTAGGCACACCTGCAGGGGACGGGGAAGGCTCCGCACAGCGTGTCACCACTGTGTCCTCCCTCTATGTATGTATCTTCCTGGAAAAAGCCATGTTCACTGTCTGCTTGTGTGTAACTTCAGATCACAGTATTCATGTATCATGCTAAATTACTATCTAGTCCACAGCAGAAATTCTGGCTAATGATGGAAAAGTTATGTCTGGGAATTAATCCTCTGCTGCAGTTTTCCCTCCCTTGGGGGTGGGGGCAAACTGAGTGGATTCTTCAGAAAATTAACCTAAACATACTGACTCTTGGCCAATTGTCAGGTGGATGACATCTTAGGAGAAGGCAGCGATGACAGTGACAGTGAAAAGAAGAAGCTGGAAGAGGAGGAGGAGGAGGGGAAGCCACTGAGCGGGGAGGCCGAGGCCCCAGGAGCTGAAACAGAGCCAAAGTCTGCGTCGTCTTGGTCAAGTGAGCAGAGCCTGGCAGGTGGCAGTGTGCCCAGGTAAGCACTTGCAGGTACGGAGAGTGCACCAGGCCTCCCACAACAACCCCAGGAGGCCTTGGGCTTTAACGGGGTGTCAGACAGCTTCTGTTCTCATTACTGTCTCATCATCATCATCATCATCATTATTCTGTGTGTCTTACCAACCAGCATAGAAAACGGGTGCTATCTCACCAGTGCTTGGCATTTCCTGGGCACAGTAATTGTTCAGGGTCACCATTCTTCAAAGCTGCAGGAAGTGGGAAGGGACACATAAACGCTGAACACGGGCAGTCTGGTGCTCGGGACCTGAGACAGCAGATACTGCTGCCTTGTCTCGTTTCAGAGATTGTAAGAGCAAATATAGATTCTTAACATAATCATTAACATTTTCAGAATATTGCATTCATGGTGATACGAATTTCTATCAAAGTTTTATGATTTCAGTTACTAGGCACACTGATTTTTTTCTCCATCAAAAACTTGCTTGTGTGTATAAGTGGCATTGCATGTGCAAGAGTGTGATCAAGCAGTCCACAGGGAATGCAATGGAACTCTGCTCACACTAGCCCAGTCCATGTCCTGAGAGGGGATTGTGGTCAGTGGTTTGTGGGCATCCCTGTCCATGTATCAAACAGACACAGAAATGCTCCCTCCCCTCCCATCCTAGAGCCTCTTCCTGGCAGCTTGTGCTTCCACATAAGGCTGTCTTGGAGCTCATGCCGTAATCAGAACACTGGATTTTTCTCATCCTTTTTGGTCACTACCCATGTCCATTGTGTGACACCAATGTGTTATCTATGCAGTGGCCCCGTCGTCCCCAGAATTCTACCACAAGAGACCACGTGGCAGTGTGTCTTCTTACGTGCATGCAAGTGTAAATGTGGGGACATTCCTGAGCGTGCTGATTATCAGCACTGGTGATAAGTGTGCAGTGTGTGCTGTTTCTCTAACATGCCCTTGTTGAGATCCAGATGTGCACAGCCCTAGTCCCAGTGCGTCTGCCTGTCACTGTAGTCACGTGGTGCAGACAGTCCCTTATCTTTGGGAGACAGTGCTCATGCACTCCCCTTGAAGGAATCCACATGACCTGGTCAGTGTCCCCATGGTGGTCCCATGGGGAGCTGTTGGCTTTGGTCAAAAAGACTAAACAGAACCTTCTGTCAGCATCACCACCTGCTTTGTAGTATCTGAATGGGCTTTGTTCTAGTCGTGTGACCAATTTTATTATTTAGTGAAACATCCCCACGAAGTTAGAGCCTTAGATGGCCCTTGTGTGGTCCCTGATGTTTTTAATCCAGTAAACATCGATCCTGTGCCTTTAAAGAAAACACCATAGCTGTAGCTATTATAACAAAGTGGTCCCCAGCTCATATAATATCTCTACAAGGCAGTGATCTCGCACACCGGGCCTCAGGTGACACTCCCCAGGTCAAAGAGTGACCTGCCTTTCATCTGAATGCCCCCAAGTACACACTGTGCCCCACTCACTCATGTGTTCCGCAAACCAGCCTCCACCTGCCCGGGAGACAGCCGGCTTGCTCCTCCATGTGCAGATGCCAGCTCTCAAGTCCTGGCCCTGCCACTTAACACCATGGTATGGGCTCCCACAGGCACGCCACCAAGCCTTCCTGATCTTGGTCACCTCACCTGGAGAATGGGGAAAATAGTGTGCTTCCTGGAGTAGACAGCAGGATTCAGAAGACAGTGCGTGCAGAGTACTTTGAGCATCCAGCACCTGGGAGGACCCTGAGAGATTGTGATCCCCCACTTCCTTGAGAGCCCCCAGCTGAAGAGCCCATGCTAAGGCCACCCTCATCATCGGCAAGCAGCTGCATCTCCCCGACCTCAACCTGGCCCTGCTTTGGGGCAATTGCAGCAGACACCAGTGCTCAGCGGATGTTGGGGAGCAATCTGCACAGGACTTGGTCACAGGATGAGAGCGAACATCCTTGCTTTGTTTCTATGTTTTTACTAAACTATAAAATAGTCACAAAATAAAGATGGATTATGTAAACAAGAGCCTGCTGTCATGGGTTGGAAGACAGGGCAGAAGCTCTGGCATACTGTAGAGGCAGCGATGTTAGACAAGTGACCAGTAGGCCCAGGAGGGTGAGGTGTTAGGCCCAGCTCTGCGTCTTGCTAGTTGTGGCCTTGGGCCGAGCGCTTGATTTTTCCACGCCCGCACGTCTCCCTGGGCAGTGAGAGGGTGGCTCAGCACCCCTCAGGTTTCACTTGCATCGTTGGAGGAAGTGCTCCAGCAGGAAGCCTTTATGGGATTGATGGGGCTGTTGGAATCCTCAAGCACATAGTGGGGGTTGGGAGGGTGTGGAGAAGTGAGCAGGGCAGGCTGCTGTGGAGCTAGAGCGGGGGTCCAGGTGGATTGGTCTGCAGAGTTACTCTTGCTGACTTGCTCCTAAATAGGCCTTTCAGGAACCTGCCCGTCTGCTTGCCAAGTCCTCAGGCAGGAAGGGTGAGTGTGCTTTACTTCAATCATAGTTTTACTTTATGTTTGATATATTTGACTTGGGCAGTTTGTGGAATTCGAGATAAGAAAAATAAAGCATCCAAAACATTTGGTCAGATTCAACTTTGTTTCATACAGACTCTATCACATCTTTTACCTGTTGTAAAGCTTTCTTTCATTTGTCACCTAGACTAATGCAACACGATGCAATTCATTAGGAATTCATTATAAATAGAGCCTATTTTTTCCATTCCTACCATGTGTCCATTTTTCATGTGTGTGTGTGCTTGCAAGTGTGCGTGTGTGTATGTTGCCGTCACGAAAGGTTTAACACATAATAGCAGCAGCCCAGCTCCAGTTGTGAGCCAGCATTATGTGCTCTCATTTCCAGCCTTTATTGGAGGATATTCAGATGTTCTCCCTCAGTTGTCAAAATTGTGACTCTCGGGTTCATGGAATCTTATTCCTTTCTATATCAGGAAACTTAATGCATATCATTTTCTGTTTATATTTCATTCCCTTTCCTAGGGAAATAGAAGTGTGGATTTTTAAAAATTTTTCACAAAATAGTATTTTTATTTGAAATCAAGTAGAGCGTGTTTTGAGTGTTTTTGTTTGTTTTGCATGTAGTGTGTCGGTTCTGTAACGATTTTCCCATGTGCTGTGACAAATTCCATACTGCGATGCAGGTTTGGTTTGGCAGCACATCTTGCTGATTTCACATGGGCAAGCTGTTCTCCAGAATTGTAATGTCACTTAAGCTTGAACATAACAATGGAAGAAGATGGATGGAGTTTTTAATTTGTCTACCAACTAAGAATTCATTCATTCCTCTTTCAAATCAACAAATGCTAAATGTCTGTTACATACAAGACACTTTCATTACTTAGGTAAATCACTAAGATAAAAAGCCAAGTATATTTGAAAAGCATTTGCCCCAACAAGGTAACTTCAGAATGTTTAAAATACAAACAAATCATCATCACCATCATTTACAAATAATGGAAAAAGTCAGTATTGATATAGAGTATCCAAGATCCTTAATATTCTGTTCATTTCTCAGGGAGCACCTGTTTGTGCCTCATGCTTAGGGTGGTGGGAGGGCCTCAGCTGGCAGCAGGCGCACTGGCAGCAGGCGACTTCAGGAAAACAACAGAAGACGTGGTTTCTTCCTTCAGATTGTTTCTAGAGTTGGTAGGAAAGTGAAAATGACAGTATTTAATTAACTAGCAAAAAATATAGTAGAGTATAGCTGGTAACTGTTATGGTAGAGAAAGTCAAGAAAGATAGAGGTAGCAGTTTTCCATTATCTGTTGACAGTGATAACAGCCGCCTTTTTCTTCACCAAAGATCTTCCTCTACTAGGATATTTTGGTCTTGGCACTGTTTCCCATCCCATCTGGTACAGTGAGAACAAGTAAGGAAGATAACACCATTTCTAAAGACTTAACTTCCTGACACAAGCACCAAGCTACCACAGCTCAATCCTCCCTGGCCCTGGCCGTCTCCCCCTCACGGTAAGGGACACGCAGCCACATGCTCTATAGATGCTGGCATGGCCATGTGTTCCCTTCCCAAGGCCTGTTCTTTTCTCCCCTTTCAGGAAGACTACATCAATTTCTACTCTTACATACAGACCCGTTGCTGTTGAGTCAATTCGGACTCATAGCGACCCAATAGGACAGAGTAGAACTGCCCCATAGGGTTTACAAGGCTTTAATCTTTGCGGAAGCAGGCTGCCACATCTTTCTCCCTCCGAGCGGCTGGTGAGTTCAAACCAAGCCAAGCGCTTAACCACTGTGCCGGCAGAACTCCTTTACATATAGATGGTTGTTACTAAATAATGGTCCAGAGGAACTCACACCCAAAAGCTGTTTTTAATATTGAATAATTCACCTTGGCTAGATTTTCTTTAAATATGTTTTGGGGGGACATTTGTCATTTCTAAAAATGGAGAAAACACGAAGCTTTGTAATAATGTTAATTTCCAGAAAACAAATGTAGCTCACATTTATTTTCATGAGTTTTTGGCATTTGTTTCTTCTAGCAGCTCTCTCCCCTCACCCTAGTTATTGTTGATCCTTGGAGGGAGAGGATCCAGTATCTGCTGACTGATTGATAATAAGTGAATCTGGGTCTAAGAATTGTTAATCTAGGGTTGTAAATTTCCCTTCATTTTCACCCCAAAATGGTTGCATCCTGTATGCGTAATGTGATGCCATGTTCACCCCAACATGGTTGCGTCCCATATACATAGTGTGATGCTGTGCTTTTTCCTATTTCACAAGTATGTTTTATAGGTCCTTTCTAATCTGTAAAGAGCTGCCATGTTCTTTTTAATGGACACATGTATGTACATGGGACATGGACCATGTGTTAGGCCATAGAACAGTAGATTTAACAGGAATGAAATAAGACAAAGGATGTTCGCCATCCACATCACAATAAAATTAGAAATCATTAACAGAAAGAAATTTAGAAAACTCAAAAAATTAATCACACTCCTGACACTTCTGGGCAACATGTTGCTATAGGTAGAAGCATCACACCGTCC